TAAAGAAATATCTACATGACGTGAGAAGTGACATGAAATTCCTTGGTCACATGGAAAATACAGAAAAAGTACATGCCAAACTAAATGAGACCAGAAACTGGTGACATAAAGCAGCATCTAGATCAATTGGTCTGTAGAAAATTAGCAGCACATGTATAACACCAATTTGTTTTGGACTTCATCAACAAGTTTTCTTAGCATCCCCTTGCTGAGGAATAATAGAATCCAATATCTAAACTTATCTATATACTTAAAAGACTTGCCCCCAATAACAGATTCAGTAACAGAACATTAAGGTCATTAATGAGGCAATTAGGCTTACCTTTGAATCATTTTCATCAAAGATTTCTCCAACAATCTCCTCAACCACATCTTCTAAGGTTACCATCTGCTCCATCAAAAAATCAGTACATAAATATATAAAGTCAATCAGTCAATAAAATGAGCACAAATACTGTTAAATAAGCAATCCAAAAGAGAAAGAAAACCCATGCATAGTAAGTTCTAGACTTTTTGTGTTCTCATGGTGCATATTCCACTCTTATCTGAACTTTAGAAGAAAAATGATTTCAAAACATATGAGAGAGCATTCGAGTTTCAACTGCAGGGAACTCCTCTGTCTCCTTTACCATGTTGAACCTGATATTAATGTTACATGCCAAACCTTCTGAAGTTGTAAGATTTGAATAACATCCTAATGCTAGGAGCTCATGAGTTAAGGATTGAGGGGTCATACCAATCATTTAGATTTTAAGTCGTCAGCATATTATCCTGTTAGACTTTTTACCATCATTCGTTTTATTCTGTTTATGTTATGGCATTTGGATACCAACAAACAATGAACAAATACTACTTCAAGTGGGCAAAAAGAGCTAATAAAGAATAAGGTTTTGTCTTTAGGACTTTTAGCTACAATTGAAAAAATTTTGTTTAGTTTTTTAGCCTCTTAGCAGGGGAAGCATTGTTAGCATCTAACTGTAGAATAAAGTTCAAAATATCATAAATATTGTCTCATATTGTTTCAAGATATTACAAGTTAGCATAAGTTGACATGCATCACAAAATAAAAATAAATATAAAGACAGAAGTTGGAACTTTATCATAATGAAAAATCTCAACACAATGGATGATTATGTTTAAGTAGACTTTCAATACGAGGCTTTGCACATACCCCAACAGTACTGCCATATCCATTAAGAACAACAGCCATGTGAACCTTTCTGATCTGGAATTTTCTAAGAAGATTCCACACTGATATTGAATCTGCAAAACCAATTTTTCTAAATTTTACTGTATAGATAATTGAAGCATTCTATTTTTTCCATTTTCTTTTCCCCTAGACAATAACTACTAAAACCACAACAAATCAGTCTGCTGAAACAGGGTCTTCTTCACTTCAATTGATTACAAAAATCAAAAAGGAAATGATGTCTTCACATAAAATGTGGATAATATTGCGCGAAAATGGAGTAATTGCAATTGAAAAAAAAAAAACCAATGCAACTAGCTCAATCAACCAGTGGTAGTGTCATAAAAAGTTAGAAAGTGTTAATATCAACCCAAAGAACATCATTAAATATTAACTAAAGAAAAAAATCAAGGGTTAACCAGGCACAAAGTAGGTAGGTTTGTAGCCATGTCCCTCACATTAGAACTTTCAAGTTGCTCACCCTCACCAGTTCCCAAAAAAAGAAATAAAAATCGAAGTGATTATAAACCTGCATGCTATGATATTGACATTGTTGCATATAATTGATACGTAAAGTTCTAATGATGGAAAAAAGGGTGCATCGAAGGTGGGAATTGCCTGACCTTCCAAACAAAATCAAGTAGATCCATTGCATATGCAATGCCAACTATATTGTCAACATGCTACTCAAAAACAGGTACCCTGTAAACAGAAATCTTTCAACAAGTTTCTTGAAGGAGACAAAGCCTTAGAGATGAATTACCAATTCCCTACCTTGTGAATCACCCACAGATGTTGGAAATCAACAAGAGTTGCACTTGCATAAATTGCAACCATATCAACAAGGGGTGTCTTTACCTCTCTAACATGAGTATCCTTTATCTCTAATACATTTTCAATCATATCCTGCAAGGAATTCATAAAATTAGAGCATCTAAACTG